GTCACTCTTCTTCTTGGGCATGGGACAAAGGGCAATAAAAGCCATGTAAAAAACGTTCAGTTCCACTAGCAATTGAAAAGTAGCTTCCCTTGAGATCCATGTTGTCCCTGTCCTATGTGAAGCTCCTTTCTTAGGGAAGTAAGTATTTCTTGTCTAAGAAAATGCTATGAAATTAATAGGGTTGCCATTCATCAATAGGCAACTTGAAGGCATATACAGAGAGAGAGAGAGAGAGATTACAACCAGTGGTACAATAATACAGTGAGACCACTTGTTTGAATATTTGGTTTTGAACTGTACAATAGTATGGACAGTATCTGCAGTGTTATTTGTAAAACATCATACCTCACAATTTTAACATGATAATCATTGATATTTGGTTTTAGATGGACTCTTGAGAAGAATTAACCACCAGCAACACTTCTGTGGCATATAATCAGAGTAACAATTCCTGAAAAAATATGGTCAAAGGGCCCATGATACATCAGATAATTTTTTTATGTCACCTATTTTAGCTGAGGAGGGAATTGCATTGGTGATAATCATGCCCACCAAATCTAGAACAAAATCTAGAACTTGATAGCAATTTTCATCTTGCTCACACTGCAGTTTCATGCTGGGGGGGGGAGCAATGAACCTAATAAAAATTCTGAATACAAAATAATATGATTTTAAATCCACCATGGTTTATTCACTAGCAGGTTTTGTTTGGTTTACAAAGAGGTTGTTTTGCCAGCTGACAACTGCTTTATAAACAGGGCCTTTACAGACTGCCAGAAATAATGCAGCTTGAGGCCACTTTAACTGCCCTGGCTCAGTACTAGGGAATCATGGGAACTGTAGTTTTTTCTGAAACATTGAGCCTTCTCTATCAGAGAGCTCTGTTGCCACAGTAAACTACAGTTCCCATGACTCCTTAGCACTGAGCCAGAACAGTTAAAGTGGCTTCAAGCTGCATTATTTCTGGCAGTCTGTAAAGGCCTAAATGATTCAGGGTTTACCCATATTGCAGTTATGCCTATTTCTCCATCCCATGGAGTCCTGGGATGATTAGTTTGGTGAGGTCCTTAGAATTACCAACTAGAGAACACTAAAACCATAGTTCAGAGAAGTGGATTTGACCTTTTTGCAGGGAATATCAAAATACCCCATCCTACAAAGCCCAGGATGCCATAAGATGGAGTCAGGAAAGTTAAAGTAGGATCAAAATGTTACAATTTGGCAGTGAGGGCACACACATAAGCAGATCCAGGATCTCCCCCATAAAAAAATGTGAAAAAGGATGCCCTGAGTTTACTTGTTTCAGGTAGAAGATTTATCCCAAGCCCCCACAAAACAAAGATCTCTATGTATCCTGACTCTGCTTATATGTGTGACTTGACCCTTCTCTAGCTTTCCTACATTGCCCACCAGAACATGCACAGGTCCATCTAGGGGAAAACAGATTTCCCCCCCAGGTCTCATAAAAAATTTGAATGGCTTTGCTTATATTTTCACATGAACAATAATCTTCTTCACCAATAACACTACTGCCTAAGTACAAGACAGATGTCTTTATTCACATTTTATTATGTGACAGAGGTTGCTCCTGATCACAAGATCAGTTTGGATCCCAGTTTGTCCAGCACCTGCATGTCATCACTTCATCTGGCGCTTACGTGTGGTGCTGGAAGCTACCATGTCTTGGGAATATATTTGCCTCTGTATGAACCTCTCTTCTTTTGGGCAGGGTCTGATGGGGGAAACCCTCATATTGCTAACATTTGTTTTTCCTGGAACAAAAGTCTTGTCTTTGCCACTTGACTTCTCTGCCCATAGTAGGGCTGACTAGTGCTCCATTCCCAAATAAAGATTGTTCAATGTAAGCTTGTGCATTAGAAGGGACCTACAGTTCACCCCAAAATGCTCCTTTGAGGCACTCATTCTGTTTCTTGAAAGCCACCTTGGATCCTATGCAGAGAGAAAGGTGGGATATTGAATACATACATACCAACATACAGAACTTCCACTGGCTAAACTCTGAGAGTTTTGCAAGAATGCTAGAGTAGGGATGGACATCATAGGAAGGACCTGCTAGTGGTGAGCAGCTTGGTCTTTGCTGATCACTTCCTAATGTGGGTTGACTGGGATGAAGCAGCTGGGAGGATTGCAAGTGTGGGTGGAGGGATCTGGCTGCAAAGGCTGTAACTAGCAAGAGATCTCTTTCTCCCTCCATTCTTGAAGGGAGCTTGCTGCCACATGGCATGACCACACTACTAGCTGGTTACATGATTGGATAGTTTAAAGTGAGATAAATTGGTTATACGATTGTTTGAGTAGACAGTACAATAGACCAGTGATGATGACACACAATGCCAGAGATAAAGGAAGCATCCACACTACACAATTATACCATTTTGATACCACTTTTAACTGCTATGATTCCATCCTCTGGAATTCTGGGATTCCATTTCATGAGATGCATAGAATGCTCTCCTAAAGAGCTGTAGTGCTATAGAGTATGTAGCAGGGATTAGGGGATTGCAAGCATGTTTTAAAACTGCAAATTCCAAAATACCACAGGATGGAACCATGACAGGTGACATCAGACTCATCAAATTGCTATAATTATGTAATGTGGACACACCCAAAACACCCTCTCTTAGGAAACCCACTATTCATGGTTTGAATATCTCTTAACTCTACAGTAGAAGTATTGCCATGTGCAAAAAGTGTTTATATGCCCAACAAGATTTTTTTAAAAATCCAAATACCCCAATCAAATGTCTTTGGCCATGTCTATGACTCCATGGTGGAAGGCTACAGGGACATGTCATGGGAATAGAATTGCAGTGTGCTGCAATAGGCAAATAAATTGCACCTGTGGATTAAATTGATTTGCTTCATGTTTTTGCAAAGTTAATAGTCTCTGCTGTGAGTGCAGCAGGTATATGCATATAAATAAAAATGACATAGAAAAATATACAGACACAATAGAGAAATAAGGAGAGCATACAGAACTGAGATATATTTTCCCCACAAGGAAAGCAGGACTTGATCATTCACAAGTGTCAAACACATTTGACATGGTGAGTTTTCCCTGGAATGAAATAAACTAGCATCTTAATGCCACCTGCCCTTTGTCTATAAAACAACCTTTTCAATTTTATATATTACTATTTATAATATTACCATATAGCACTATTTTTAAACCACAAAACTAAGATAAAAGTAATCAAGTTGGTAATATAACAGGGAAGGGAAGAAGGAATTACAACTTTACAGCTGTTGTTGTTACCCCTGTTTTACCAATCAACTGGTTCCATAACTATACTCAATGTTATTTGGAAGCAATCCCTATTGATTTCAAAATTAGAGCCAAACTAGATGTAATCTCAAGTCTATATATTTAATACGCAAGCATTTTAAAATGTATCTGGCATCAGTGTGCATGTATGGGGTGGGGAGATAGAAATGGAGGAAGAGAGAACACATTTGATTTTGCAGCTGTCATGGGAAGAAGATTTAATCCTAGACTTCTCTGTTGTGGTCCTGAAGAATTAAAAGTCATCCTCAGAACAAAGCAGGTGATGCTTTCGGGAAGGGGCATCTCATGGTTTACAATAGGTGAGTTTTTTCTCAATGCAAATACTTGTTTTAGATGAGGGATTTCCTCCATTCTAGAGGAAATGGGCTTCTGTGCCATCCCAAACAAAATTACTCTACTGATCCATCTCCAGAAGGACAAAAACAATTTGTATAGGGAATTTCCTGGGAGTGACTATCCAGTACAGCAGAAGGAATGAAGTCAAATTTGGTAAAAATTATACATTGTTCTGTCAAGATAGTTTGTATCCCAATTAGTATTAAATGTCAGACCTAGATAAAAACCTGCACATGCATGGTACAGGTAGCAGATGAAGAGTTTTGTGTATCATTGTTTTTTTTTTAATACAGAGAGGCAAAAGATACCTTAAAGGAGGAGACCTGTGTACCTTGAAACAGTGCAAAGAGAATATGGGGCTTGGAGCATATATGCTGCTCTCTTCCCATTAGGAACAAAGATGGTTCTAGGTTTGAAAGATGGGCTGAGAAAATGGACTCTAGTGGACTTACACACCGATCAGAGAAACCTGGGGAATTATCAGCTTTCTGCACTGTCAGCTTCCACATTCATACATGGTGATGAGGAACACAGTGGCTTGAACATTTCTAATTTTAGTGTTTGGTTGTATATCTTTACTCTTTAGGATCTTTTCTAGTTCTTTCTTAGTTGCCGTTCCCATTCCTATCCTACTCTCCTTATTTCTTGACTGCAGTCTCCTTGACTAGGTTGAATTTATGTATTATCTAATATGTATATGTCTTAATAGCACAAATCTATTTCTTACATTGTGTCAGGACCGGCCAACTGTCACAACCACGAGAACATCTTGTTGTGATAGAAAAGATTTTTATTTCAGAAATTGAGACAGAAGTCACCCATCTGGGGTCTGTGTCAGAAACGGGGTTCTTTCCCTGGACCATAGTGTAAGAATACAAGTTATCCACATATACCTTCCCTTGGATCCCAATCAAAGCAACCTTTCATGTCCCCCTTTCTCCCTCCCATGTTTATCATTCAATACTCCTTAAGGAAAGGAGCAAGACACCCCTGCGATACAAGCCAGATTATGGTAATATTTATAGATTTTCTTATAGTTTCACCTAAGCACAATTTACTCAGAAAAGATTTGCCATTGCTCTCCTTTTAGACTTGCCCAAGGTGGGATTCCATGGCTGAGTGGAATTTTGAACCCTGGTCTCATGGAGACCCAGTACAACACTAAACCATACTTAAACTACATAAAATGCCAATTTTCTTGTCAGCGTTGTTTGTTTTCAAGTCATTTCTGACTTATAGCAACCCTAAGGCAAACATATCATGGGGTTTTTTTAGCAAGATTTGTTCAGAGGTGGTTTGCCTTTGTCTTTGAGGCTAAGAGACTGTGACTTGTCCAAGTACACCCAGCAGGTTTCCATGGCTGAGCAGGGATTTGAATCCTAGCCTCCAAAGTCATAGTCCAATACTCAGACCACTACACTACACTGGCTCTCATACCAGCACAAAAATGACCATTATAGCTTGGTCACTTATATATTGTCCAGCCAGTTCAAATAATTTTGAAGTGCTGTATTGGCTGGTAGCTTCCATGTCAGCAGGGCAATCCACTTCAAGTTTTAGTGTGAACTTTAAAATACTAATCAAAGTGCAGAATATATTTTGGGGAAACCGTTCAATTTCTTGGATAGGTCTGTTGATGTCTGGAATAAAAATGAAAGGGGCTTCACTGTCCTATAAAAAGAAGTCACCAGCTGTCACTGTATACACATTTCTTACCATGTAGTCTAGTCATACTTTTGTTCAGCTACCACCCTTTACAGCAATAAAACCTACGGCTATTTTTTATTGTTCATTGCCTGGTAGGCAGAGAACCTGCTTTATAAATCTAATAAAATAAACATGTGATGACTAGAGTTGGCCCTGGAGTAATTTGCTAGGCACCAGAGGTTTACTCTTGAGAGAACTGCTAAAGAAGAGATTGGAATGTGATTTTTAAAACATAATTAGCTATAGTTGTAGTTCCAAACCCCCAATGAAATCAGTTATTATAGTGATAATTTTAAAAGCAACTCTTTAACCATCTGTTTCTCAAAAGTAACTAGTTACTTCCAATTATTTAAAAATCTGAATGCTGGAAGCTGTTAGACAGTGGTATAAGACATATTCTCCTTCTGTCCACCTTGCTGTTACCTTAGTATCCACACAGGGCATGAGGTGGGAGCGCTAGCCCAGCAGAAGTCAGCACTCAAGCTGTGGGATGTTCCTCCTGCACTCTTTATTGAGGCCATTTCCTTACAACCATAAATATAATTCAAAAACAGTCAGACTGAAGTTACCCCTGATTAACTTATAGTTGTAAGGGAATGTTGTTGTATCTTAGCTGTGGAGGAACGCAATTAATTACAAGTAACCAGCTGTTTGCTACCAGTTACTTTCAAACTCTATGGCACAGATCTGTCTAATTGTGGAAGACAAGCACTTGGGATACAGGGAGAAGAAGAAAGGCCACATGTTTCATAAGTGGCATGACTAAATAAAAGTTGAACAAAAATATATTGTAGTACAAGTTACTGAAGGAAAAGATTGTACCTAGATATTTTATGCCTCTCCAAGTTGGGGATGACACCTCTGGAGAAAGGGACTTGTTTTTCAACACTGTTTGACAGGGCAGAAGGGGTTTCCATAAGAAAGAAGCATCTCAAGTCAATTGTAAATTGTCTGCCCTGTTATCATTCAGAAATCTGCAGAGTCGCAGCAGGGAACTCTGCTTTTTTTTTTTTTACAAGAATGCTGCAAAAATTTATTATTATTATTATTATTATTATTGTATGTCTGCCTAAGCTGTAGTTAAGATACTCTCAACATTGCCATCTGATGGCTAAATTTCAGGGGCCAAAAAGGGGCAGGAACATAGATGTACTATAGGCTGAAAATTGCAGCAACTCCTCCTAATTTTTGTTGTTACTGGAATTGCTATATGGCCATTGCTATATGGCCAACATGGCTACCCCTGGATCCTTTTAAGAGGTGTGCAACTTGCCCAAGGTCATCCAGTGGTGAGCAGAGATTTGAACTGGTCTCTAGAGCTGTAATCCAGCACTCAAACCACTACAACACTGGCTCCAACATATACAGAATACCCAACATACCAAATATATTCTGTACAAATTCAATCTTAGAAACTAAAGCTGTTAAGAATATGGACTTTCATCCCTTTCTTATTGGTGCAATAGAACTGTGAAAGTTTGACAACCAAAACTGTTAGTTTTGCAGTTGGAACTGGATTTGTTTTGCAAGACCAGATATTTCTTGCAAATATTTCACCAGATTTTTAGTTTGTTTGCATTCCCATTATTTCATAGTGATAATTATGAGTGAAATTAATTTGTCTTTAATCCTTTAGAGCAGGGGTAGGCAACCTTTCCCCTTTAAGGGCCGAGGGACTTCAGCTCCCAGAATCCCAGGAGCTATTGGCCAATATGGGACTATTGGCCAACATGGCTGAGGCTTCTGGGAGCTGAAGTCCTTCGGCCCTTAAAGGGGAAAGGTTGCCTACCCCTGCTTTAGAGGAATAAGAACTGGAGAACTGTACAGCTTAAGCGCAAAGCAGAAGTTACCTTAGTCAGTCTAGATTTAAAAGTAAATTTAACTTTCTTAGTATGATGAAAAAAGAGCTTCTGTGCTGATATATTACATCAAATAGGATCATACTACTCATATAGTACTCATATTCTTACAGTAGCATATTCATGTATCTAATGTACAGACTCTAAATCACGTCCTTTATGAAAAAGTCAAAAAAATTGGCATGCTCCTTCTTTTGTAGCACAAAAGTTATCATGTTAAGAAGTCTCCAACTAAATTAGACAGACCAAAAGACTTGATCACATTTGATCTTATATAAACTTTAAATTATTGTTTAAGACCCTAGCTTCCCCATCAAACAAAAATGGATGCTATGGCCAATCACGTCTTATGTGAGGAGAGGAGAACTGCACACATTGGTAAAAGGCTTGGTCACATCTCATCTTCTTAAGGATTATCAATCTCAGAAACTCAGTGATACTGAAGGTGTATGTGGAGTCCAGATGTCCAGGCACCATTGTAGAAAATCTTAATCATTTTAGTCAAGGTAAAAAGACTCCTTAGCCTGAGATGCTGGAGACTCCTCAGCAAGAGAATATGGAAGTCCTAAAACTAGAGACACTGGACCCAGTGCATGATTTGTGCAGTATATCCCAAAAGTCTGCAGTCTGTGGAGCCAATATGTCAATACCAGAAGCATACCATGCCTCCACTCTTGGTTAGATAGAGAAGTGCTAGGCTAGAGAGGCCTGTTCCACCCCGTTGAAAGAGATACGAGTTTTAGAGGGGACTTCTGGAAGCAAGCATAAGAAGCCTCAGTATGGTCTCAGACCTTGTTGGAATAAATCAGTCACCCAGGGTTCTCTTAGGCACCATGACATCTGGCCTCTGTTGCTGCACTATGTCCATGTACTCTTGGTTCAGCCCAGGACATGGTAATGGTTGGGGGGGGGACATTATTTGAGCATACTCAAGTGGCTCTTCATCACTATTGATACCAGAATTACAGGACAGGCCTATCAGTACAGAAAGTATGGACAAGACAGAGTTGATCCTGGACCTTACAATTTAAGCCTTCTGGTGGCAATTTATAGAGGGGACCATGAGACAGTGAAGGTTGGACCTGACATCTTCTAGCAGCTACACATGAATATTGTGTGAGCCCAATAATGTTAGTTTGACATTTGTTAGAAGGGATATAGATGTATGTGCAGAGGGCACAAGGAAGGACCCCACTTAACCTCCTTGCATGTAGGAGTTATTTGTGCACACAGTTGTATATGTGAGGGTGGATCCAGGATCTGCATTCTGTTACATGAAAGCTATGCTGATGGAAAGCCCCTCCACTAAACTTTGAGGGAGCCTCCCATCCTCCATAAACTACACTGTTGACCCACTGTGTAGTATTTGGGAATCTTCAAAGAGCCACTATGAAAAAGGCAAGTCAAGAAGTCAGTCTGTTAGCTCAGGTGTTCATGCCTACGTTTGGATCCAGCCCTTGGAGAAAAAATTGTTATAGCAGGCAAAGCTAATGTATATCATTATTGAAGCTGTTGCTGTTGCTGTTGCATTTCTATGCTGCTTAGCCCCCTTAAAGATGTTTCAGTGTGGTAAATACTCAAACAAATAAAATAAAATTCATTAAAACACAAGCATTACAAAATATGAAACAGCCACAAAACGTGAAACAGCCAATAGAACGATAATCAATAGAATATTTCAAACTAGAGGCTTAAAACACAATTGCAAAAGTGGGTGGCACAGTCCATTCAAAAAGTGATGGCCACACAATCTTCTCCAGGTTCAAATGTGGAATGTGTCCTTAGTGTGCTCTTCCACTGAACTTTTAACAAATAAATGGGACTTCAGTGTGTTTCCATTTATGCCTTTTGCTGAGAAACTCAAGGCAGTGTTCAAGGTTCTCTCCTCTCTCCTCCTTATCTGCATGACAGCCCAATAATGTGGGATAGAAAGTGACTGTTACTAGATTATCTAAAAGTCTCCTTGGCTAACCAAAGTCTAAGCTCAAGACTCTCACTACTGGATGGATCTCATATTTATGACATCTCTCTCTCTCTCTTTCTGGCTCTTAGAGCACATTTGTTTACAAGTTAGTACTGTAGACACACAAAATGCAATTACTTTCTCTTTTTATTTTTAGAAGGTATTTCTTGAAAAATCCTTTTCAAGGATATAAAGAAAAACTTAAATGTTCAATAACATACAAAATCCACAAAACAGTGTTACCTTTGGACGTTATCACATGGGGCCCAATCCAAACAAAATCCAAACGAAATCCTGACCAAAACCAGATTATTTGCCCATGTTTTCACATGACGTCACACAGAACCCTGACAGAAAGTGGACAGAAAGTGGAAAGAACCAAGATCTTTTGAAATTCAGTTTCTTGAGGAATTGCAATTGTGCGATGAGGATCATTTCGCATTTACCGTAAGTATGATAACCAAATACGTATTGGGGAGCATTTCCTCATCATTACCCATGGTTCCCACGAGCATTGCTCTATCTGCGCATGTGCAGGAGGCTCATTTCTGCTGCATTTATGGGTTTTTTTCTCTTGTGTGTGGACGTTCAATGCAGTTACTGTAAATGCGCAATGAAGGTAATTACGTTTGCGGAAACAAGGTTTATTTCCCATTTATTTTCGGGATGCCTCATTTCCACTTTATTTTCAGTTTTTGGGCCACGTGTGATAACGTCCTTTATTTGGTCAACTAAAATGCACAAAATACATGATGCAAGCTTTTGAAGCTAGACTAGCAAAGGTGTTTAAAAAATTATGCATGAGGGGAAAATTACAAAATGATAATGTTAGTCACAGTCCTGCATTTTTTCAATATGTTGTTGTGTTGTTCTTTGGAGGTATATCTAAGTAAGCAGGCC